CGATTTCCCTTCCACCATGAGAAACGAATATTCAGTGTCGCTCATTTTGAGGCAGGAGAGATGAAACCTTGTTCCACAAGGCCCGCTACATCTAATAAATTTCTGTTTACCGTAGAACGGTTTCTTACACACCGAGCAACAGTCTTTGCTAGCAGCCATAGTGCCGGCAGGCTGCGGGCGAAGCACACTCACTCACAGTTATACAGCAGGTACGGAGAGCTCACAAAAACACGTCCGCAGCAGACCAAAAAAGCATTTCAATATATACGGGTGTCCCAAATTGATGTAGACACAATGCTGACATATGTAATAATTGTGTGAATACATTTTCTTGGGACACCTGTGTATGTTTAAATGTTTCTTAGCCAATTGGTTTCAATAAAAAGATAATGGAAGAAAACGCCAGTTCTTTTACCAAAACTAATTTCTGTCTGTAGAAATAATTTTTATAAATGTCTATGTATATACTTGAAATCAAAAACGACGTAACATAATGTGCATTATTTAGCTCGGTGGTAGCATACACTGCACTGTTGTCTCCATGCCCCGTTTTCGCTCACTGCTCAAAAAGAAAAATCTCAGCGCTTTGCGTTCCGACACACGTAGCATGTTCTCAGCTGCCTGTTTGACACCATGTTTCTGAGGCATACGACACTGTTGGTCCGATGACGGCTTTATGCAACTTCAAAGCTCTTAAAATTAATTTTGATCTCAATAGTAACTAGAGCGCATAACACCTACTTCCTGCTGCTAATTTCATTATATTCTGTTATGAGTGATCCTAAACCCAAAGTTAAAGACCAATTGAGACAAAACATCTCTTTATTTCAGAATGTTTTTTATGGAAAATTAGATAAATATTTAAAATAAAGTAAAGCTGTCCCGGTATACGCCATGTAGGCGCTTGGGAGAAGTGAGAGAGTAGCTCCTACTCATTCATGACCTCGGCACTAGACGGGGGTGAGTGGTCAGCGTCACGCCCCGGCCGCGTTTTATCCCTGGGAAAGGAACCCGGTACCAACTGGATAGGAGGCTGGGTGGGCCCCAGAGCCGGTCTGGACGCAGTATAGAGGAATCTTCTAGCCCTTTCGGGGATCAAATCCCGGCCGTCCAGTCCGTAGTCAGTCAATAGACTGACTGAGCTACACCGGCTCTTCTGTTGTTCAAATTAGTGTACCAGTTCCTGAACTTTCTCTATTTTTCACAGACCGCGGCAACATCTACACATCTCTCTTTTGTAACATCACTTTGACAAGTTGTAAAGTTTAACGCAGTATTGCGAACAAAGCGAATAGATTCAGTACCCTGATTTCAGTTGTTCTGACATTCTACACACGTAAGAAATTTGTAATTACTGATACATAGAGCCGTACAGTAGAAGTTAATGACAACTGTTTACCACAGGTTCCAGCTCTTCGAAATAAAATATACAGAGAGGAATTTGTATAATATTTAATACCTATAAAGTATTTAATACATTCACACATCGTAAACGAATTATATACAGTCTCTATGAAGAAATACAAACAGATACCAATGTGTAGATGGAAATGCGAAACAACGATGAACATATGAAGTAGTGTGACAGAAAGTTTACACATCACACATCCTTGGAAGGCTAAAATCTAGCTTTTGAAAAGATTCAGTTTCCTAAGTCAATAATTGATAGCTTAAAATCTTTGAGACCATTCATGAAACTCCAGTTTTTATGTTGCTACTAACTTCGAAGACGATCGAATGAATAATAAAGCATATAACATATACCAGAACATATTTAAGGTATGTTAAATACATATCAACTACGAATCTGCAATCGGCGCCCTCACTAAACCTGCCCTGGGCATTTTCTGCATTGAGATTTACGTATTACATAAGCGAGATATTAAAATAAGATATACATTTACAGATTCAATCAACAATAATCGGCGAGCTCTTCTGTGTATTTTCTATAATACGTTAGTGAAATTAAGCTGACGTAAATGTGGAGTGCGGACTTTTGAATTGCATGAGCCTTCAGTCTAACCTTCCAAGGACGACATCAGTTTCTTCAGTTTAGAAGTTGAAACTGCTGTAGCTTTCGGCGTCACCGGATGATTTTTGAGAGTAAGACGGTAAGGGAACCTCTTCATATTTAGGGAGTACAATTTTCTTTACGGGGAGGATGATCTTCTTCTCTTGTTGAATAGGATGAATGGCGTGTCCGGACCTCACGACCTGAGCGTGGAACCCGGTGTGTTTGTCAGAAGTGTAGTGGACCGTACGAGTGGTGCCATCAGGTTCAACCAACTTGTAGTAGCCTTCGACTTTGTCGCCGTCACGTTTCTCTGCCTGCTCCTTGATGTCGTGTGTGTGTTCGTCCTTCACCCCGTATTTGAATTCGTACTTGGGGTGTGCCTGAAAGGAATGGTCATAATTTTAGGTGTCTATTTATACTTATACAATTATAACAATCTCCAGACAGACCCCGGGGTCTACCCAGCTCTTTATTCAACGAATACCTAGCTAAAGTACACGAAGCGTGAAATCTATATCTGCTGAAGAAGTGGCACAGCGTTATCTACACGCCCTCTATACAGTAACACACGGTGTTTTGATTAGGCATTCGAGCAATTTCTTTGTTTTTTACAGTAGCAGGAAAGATTTCGAGCGACATTAACAATGAAGTAAGAAGGGCCGAGATATGTATGTCGATGGTAGAAGTTCTACAGCCATATTAATCCATTCCATTAGCAAAAATTCTCTTTTAATAGAATCCCCCCGTCTGCGCTTTGGCACCCTAGTGGTACAAAGTTTTCGAGTGTGCCGTGTCGTAGTACTTACGTGGTGGTATTCTTCTATGTGATGTTCGACAGGAAGTTGATTTTGTTCCACAGCGTGGTGATACTGCGCAAACGTCACTGCAGTCAGGAACGCTAGCGTTACAGAGACCTGCAGACAAAGTAGTAAAGTTAAAGACCAATTGAGACAAAACATCTCTTTATTTCAGAATGTTTTTTATGGAAAATTAGATAAATATTTAAAATAAAGTAAAGCTGTCCCGGTATACGCCATGTAGGCGCTTGGGAGAAGTGAGAGAGTAGCTCCTACTCATTCATGACCTCGGCACTAGACGGGGGTGAGTGGTCAGCGTCACGCCCCGGCCGCGTTTTATCCCTGGGAAAGGAACCCGGTACCAACTGGATAGGAGGCTGGGTGGGCCCCAGAGCCGGTCTGGACGCAGTATAGAGGAATCTTCTAGCCCTTTCGGGGATCAAATCCCGGCCGTCCAGTCCGTAGTCAGTCAATAGACTGACTGAGCTACACCGGCTCTTCTGTTGTTCAAATTAGTGTACCAGTTCCTGAACTTTCTCTATTTTTCACAGACCGCGGCAACATCTACACATCTCTCTTTTGTAACATCACTTTGACAAGTTGTAAAGTTTAACGCAGTATTGCGAACAAAGCGAATAGATTCAGTACCCTGATTTCAGTTGTTCTGACATTCTACACACGTAAGAAATTTGTAATTACTGATACATAGAGCCGTACAGTAGAAGTTAATGACAACTGTTTACCACAGGTTCCAGCTCTTCGAAATAAAATATACAGAGAGGAATTTGTATAATATTTAATACCTATAAAGTATTTAATACATTCACACATCGTAAACGAATTATATACAGTCTCTATGAAGAAATACAAACAGATACCAATGTGTAGATGGAAATGCGAAACAACGATGAACATATGAAGTAGTGTGACAGAAAGTTTACACATCACACATCCTTGGAAGGCTAAAATCTAGCTTTTGAAAAGATTCAGTTTCCTAAGTCAATAATTGATAGCTTAAAATCTTTGAGACCATTCATGAAACTCCAGTTTTTATGTTGCTACTAACTTCGAAGACGATCGAATGAATAATAAAGCATATAACATATACCAGAACATATTTAAGGTATGTTAAATACATATCAACTACGAATCTGCAATCGGCGCCCTCACTAAACCTGCCCTGGGCATTTTCTGCATTGAGATTTACGTATTACATAAGCGAGATATTAAAATAAGATATACATTTACAGATTCAATCAACAATAATCGGCGAGCTCTTCTGTGTATTTTCTATAATACGTTAGTGAAATTAAGCTGACGTAAATGTGGAGTGCGGACTTTTGAATTGCATGAGCCTTCAGTCTAACCTTCCAAGGACGACATCAGTTTCTTCAGTTTAGAAGTTGAAACTGCTGTAGCTTTCGGCGTCACCGGATGATTTTTGAGAGTAAGACGGTAAGGGAACCTCTTCATATTTAGGGAGTACAATTTTCTTTACGGGGAGGATGATCTTCTTCTCTTGTTGAATAGGATGAATGGCGTGTCCGGACCTCACGACCTGAGCGTGGAACCCGGTGTGTTTGTCAGAAGTGTAGTGGACCGTACGAGTGGTGCCATCAGGTTCAACCAACTTGTAGTAGCCTTCGACTTTGTCGCCGTCACGTTTCTCTGCCTGCTCCTTGATGTCGTGTGTGTGTTCGTCCTTCACCCCGTATTTGAACTCGTACTTAGGGTGCGCCTATTAAGAGATAATTTAATTTGAATTGTGATACTGTTTAAACTCATAGTATTGTCCTGTAGTTTCAAAGTCGGCCTCTCCGACATGCTCCACAGAAGTGATTCGAAATTATATGCTGCATTGCCTAATAGCATTTAGTTAAAAATCGTAACTTCTCGATATAGGTATTTGATAGTATTATGATCGGTTGCTTAACGACGTGAAGTTAGTTACTAGACTTCTATAAGAGCTGTAACAAATTAAATATGCAATTCGCCTAGTAACTGAAGGAAATGGCAAATCTATCCCTCTGCGATCAATCGTTATGGCAGCTGAAGCTACCTAGTCTCGAACCCGGAACTGCTTGGTTGTTAACATCAGCTCGTGCTAGGTTATTCATGCATTAGACTTGTTCCTGTAAGGAAGTCTATGGCGGTTGAAGAGTTTACTTGAGTTGTATTAAGCGGCTTCTTGGGTTAAGGTGGTAGATCAGTGTGGTCGGTTTAAAGCAGAAAATGATTTTATATTGGACAGTTAAACTATAAAGTCGACATGGAATTAAATGACGTAGTTTGAGACCAGCGGCCAGCTCGTGTGCACATGGTAATGAAGCTGCTGGTTTTATAAAAATGTGGGGAAATTTATGTGCAGCTAAGTGACTATTACATTCTCAAGAATACTCTGCTTCATGCAAATAACAATTATAATAATTATATTTCCTATCATAACCTAAAGATTCAACAAAAATCCTAACACACGAAACCGCCATTCGTAAATAACCCTAGTCAGTTTAGTCCATTCCACAACATCACAACCATTTTATGCAATATTAGTATTGTAATTAAGCAAGTGACTATTCACGTGTAGGCCTATGCACAAACAGAGAAACAGGTCAGCGATATGGAAATATATGCATTAATGGTTACCATTTCGCTGTCATTTCTTAACATACGCATGCAACAGCGTTGGACCATGTTCGGAAGTTTGTGGTAAACATTTTGATCATTATAAAGTACAAAACCTTGTTATCAGGCGCGGCGTATATTTTAGTGCAATTTTTTGAAAATTGATTCACCGTTTCAAACTTTAAGTACAACAATTCTATTTATCTGATCTGAAGAAGGTTACCTCTTCATCCAGCCGCTGAATTTACAGTATTAATGTCATTAATTACTTACGTATTGCTCAATCTCCTTGTGTTCTTCGTAGACGGGGACTGACAGTACGAGCGCCATCATCGTGGTGAAAGCAACAGCAACCTTAAACACATTAGGCTTGTTAAATGCAGGATTGCACAATTTCACGGAAAAGGTGTAGATAATAACACTTTCGTACATAACAAATTTATTTGTGCGTTCAAAAATAATAAACCCACCGAAAAAGAAGAGTTCCTTATTGCCAAATTTCCAAGAATGCACGTATGTTTGTTAAAATCATAGAAATTTGAAAAAAAAAGTTCGAATTCTTAAAAGTAAACGAATATATAATTAATACACAATAAATTACTAATTAATAATCTGTTAATATGAAATGCAATTTATCAAGGCTTGTATCATAAACATTCTCGAAACTTTAAAGCAGTAGTGAGCCTATGTATGGTTTCAAAATGCATACCTTAAATGAAATCATATCTGCACTTTGCTTTTCTTGGACGCTTTCGAGTTACAAGACTTGTAATTTGACTGACAAACTTGGGAATACAAAACCTTTATATATTGAACAAAGAAAGTAAGAAATGTTTAATAGACACGCCCTCTCAACTATGTGTAAGAAATTTGTTTGTATTTTTAGTCTTTGTTGCCGTCCTCGTTTTAATCCCTCTCATTGGCATTCCAGCGATGATATAACTGTGAGCGTGGTTCAGACCAGCTGATACAAACGCATACAGGAAATGGCAAAGTTTTGGCAACACGTGGATTGAAACATTCACTTACTTTCCTTGTTCGAGGGAGTACTGAACAAGCCCTGCACTACTTGACATGGTTCACAGTCTGGCCTGAATGTCGTAACACGGGAACAGTCCTGCTAATTAATATAAGTGCTAACAATTATCACTACCTTGTAGTGACAACTCTTTGTGGTATCACCTGCTTTAAAAATTAGTAACTATACATTGTATAACCTGACTGAGATTTTCGTGGTTTTCCTCACATTTTTGTTCCAAGTTTGACATTATTAGCCACGAAAATTTCCTTTAGACATATGACTAAATCCTTCTTTCCATAAACTACTAATTTCATGGAATTGAATCTTTTGTAAGTAGCTGTTAGTCGCTCAGCTGGTCAAGAAATTCCTCGCCTCTTATAGAACGCAAAGGTTAGTTACTAAGTTGACAAGTTCACGCCATTACCCAGACAAATCAGTCCATATACCGACATCCTATTTCCTTAAGACCCATTTCAGTATTCTGTTTCTATAGACGATTTTGTCTCCAAAAGCGTCACTTTCCTTCAGGTTTCGGTACTAACATTCATATGCATTTCTCATCTCTCCGTGTGTACTACATTTCCCACCCACCCATCCTCCTTGATTTCATAACAATAGTAAATTTAATTCCCTTCATTCATGTGTTCGAAACAGCCAAACAATGCCCATTACCCCTAAGCACTAACAACAACAGTACAAGATAGCATACTGTAATTAAACCTAAAATGTCGTAAAATGTCAAGACATAAAGAAGAAACAGCCCAGTTGTACAACATAAAACCTGAAAAGAAGGAACAAAGAAAACTTAAAAGAAATTCTAATCACAAGTCATCTTATAAAGTACCTGTAAATGAAATATAATGTTTGTTAAAAATGTTAGTGTCCTTGTATGCAACACGGCAGCAGAAAGACGTCTAGTTCAGGGACTGATCTAGTAGTGACACTGACAGAATCAAATATGGAAGAACAATTGATTTTGTCTTTCTCGTAAATACATCAATCTGGAAAATGACATTTGCATGTTGCCTGAAATAATGAGTTTAAAAATTCATTCTATCATTTCAATTCAGTTCTTTATTATTAGTGTGTTGTATCAACGGCCAGAAGGCCAATTACAGATACAACAAAAGAGATGAGCACACGAACGGAATAATAAATATAGAAAGGCAATAAAAATACATGAGGTCAGAGAACGTTAATACACAAAAAATTGCTTCTAAATAGATTAGTATATATGTAGTAATAATTTAAATACATTATGTAAATTAGACTGTTATAGAATGTGATAAGGGTAACCGTTTTGTTTAAAATATATATCCAAGTCCCTGCAGACAACATTAGCGGCTGATACGCAGCTAGCAGGACTGTTTTTAATAGAAGGGCTACAAATGAACATAGAAAAATCTCTCACGTTCCGAGTGGGAATTCGAACACCGACAGCTTCCAGAAGGGAAGGACAGTATTTAAAACAACGACAAACCTGCGCAAGGAGCAGTGCATCACTACAGTACCTTCTTTTACTCAGGGTCTAAACTTTTAAATACTAGCACAGCTATGATTCACACGGGGAGGAAACGATTATAACAAAGGGCTGCAAATTTCTGTTGGATATGTTCCAGTTTGTTGACATCAGTAGTCGTAATAGAACTCCGGACGACCGAGGCGTACTCGAGCTTGGATCTAACTAAGGTTACATATAACATATATAGGCAGAGTAAATGACAGTTTGAAGTTGATTGCATTCGTTAGGAGATTTAATGGCACAAACATTTTTGATGTCAGCGAAAAGAAGGCATTTCGAATGATTAATTGCATTGCATATGTCGCCAATAACTGATTTGAAAAGTGGAGGATCCAAAACAGATCCCTGAGGAACCCCAGAGAGCACTACAAAAAGGAAACGAAAGAGTTCCAGAAGCACAAACCTGAGATTGTCTGTTGGTTAACTACGAAACTAGTTTACATAACCACCAGAAAGCCCAAAAGCACTGAGATATTTGAGTAGCAGAGTATGACGGACAAGATCAAATGCACTACTAAGATCAAAATAAATAGCACCATCTTGACCTTGGGAGTGTAGCTAAGTAACCAGATATTTTACGGTAGATTTGGATTTTGTAAAATCATGCTGAGAAAGATTTCATTTATACTTTACATAATGTAAGACATGATCATGAATAATAAATTCAAATAATTTCGAAAAATGATATTAATTATAGAAAGAGGTCGGTAGTTGATAACAGTCGCAGAGTTACCTTTCTTAAGAACAGGAACTACTGCTGCCTGTTTCTATACAGCAGACAAATAATGCTGTTAGACTTGGATTAAAGAAATATTTAAGAACATGAACGAAGATTTCAGAACAACCCTTTATAACGAAGCAAGGGATGTCAGCAAATCCGACAGATTTAGATGGTTTCAGACGACGAATTGCTTTACAAATGTCCAAGTCGTTAAGCCATGTCTCGGTTAAACATATTATATTGTGATCAGAGGACCAGACGTTATCATACAATTGCTTGGTCCTGAGACCTCTGACGTTTTTATAACAAATGCCTAAAAAATTTACTAGGTGAATCTTAGACATGGAGAAACCACATATGTTTGCATCACATATATGAGTCATTAACAAAGTGAAGCAGCCCCACCTTCCTGAAATCCGTCAGAATTTGCATATGCACCTTTTATGCCTAACTTTGTAACCCCTGTACCAGGGGAAGAACGACAAACACCGGTATTGTTGGTAAGGTGATTGTCATCTTCTACAACTGAGGTATGCAATAGAGCGTTGGAACTTTTTTTTTTGATTTAGTGCAGGTAAGCGAGTTTGTAGCCGAGCCAGGTGACTGTAATCTTGAAACCTGCGGGGCGAGGAAGTGGGGTGAAGGAGGAAAGATGGCGTCTGCTATGCGGTATAGTAGTACAGCATCCGTTCAGAACATATTGGCCACGAGTATGCTTGTGTAGTGCTCAAGTGAACTGAACTGATGTAATTGCGTTTGTATCTGTAGGTTTCATTGTAGTGTAAGGCATCGTTTCAGATCACAGTGGCCACTGACAGATTTCTTTATTTAGTGTGTGTAATTCGAGAGTCTATTGCAATAACTGTGTTCAGGTAGAGTGCCGAAATAATGTCGCCTCCACGGAATGTTACCATTCACCGGGCGGCTATGGAAATAATATCAAACGTAATTGAGAAATGTGATGAGGAATCACGTCAAAAACTATTGTTGCTACCGATTAACAAGCCAACAGAGAGGGCAGCACTGTATACGGGGGAATCTCGGTCATCTATTTTAATAATCAGGAGGAAACACACCGAAAGCAATGCTACCAATCCGACCCATCTTCTCAAATCACCAGGAAAGAAGAGAGGAAAACGTTCACTTTGATAAGTGCGTTACCAGAAATACAGTTCAGGATTTCTATATTCAGGAAAAAAGTGCCAACAATGCCAAAGCTGCTATTCATTATAAAAAAGAAAATACATTTTCATTAGGGACGTAAATCGTTGGAGATGATTGTAAAGAGCCTTGAATTTAAATGGAGAAAATGCCAGTCGAAACGCAAAATTCTGATAGAGAGAGCAGACATTGTTGACTGGAGATCAAGATATCTTGTGAAAATAAAGTAGTACCCGGATAACGGACACCCAATATTTTATATTGATGAATCATGGGTTGACAGCAACCTAACCTTTCGTAAATGCTGACAAACGAAGAAGTCGTGGGTACAGGCCAATTTGATCTCTGGGAACAGGCTTATCATGCTGCATGTAGGAGGAATTAATGGGTTTCTTCCTAATGCAGCATTTATTTATAAGGCTGGAAATGCAACGGGGACTACCATGGTCAAATGAATGCTGCAAATTTTGAGGAATTGGCAGTCGAAAACCTGATTCCCAATCTTCTCGCTCAGCCAGTAATTGTCCTTGACAACTTACCTTATCACCGTCTCCAGATTGGCAAACGGCCATCATCCTACTCAAGAAAGACAGACATGATTTCCTCTCTCCGCAAGAAAGGTGTGAACTGTAACGAGACCATGCGAAAAAATTAGCTATATAAACTAATTCTGCCACTGAAACCCAAAGAGAAGATCTACAAAATTGATCACATCTTGGAAAAATGCGGCCATACAGTTGTTAGACTACCTTCATATATGTGCTATTTAAATCTCATAGAACTTGCATGGACGAAAATAAAGATATTCGTGCGTGAAAACAACGTCACAGGAGATCTGAGCCTGCAAAAATTACCACAAGTGACGAAAGATGCAGTGGCACTTATGACAAAGGAAGACTGGGAAGGGTTTTGTAGACATACGGAAACAGTCGAAAGCCGATATTGGGAAAGAGACGGCATCCTTCCAGATGTGACAGACCGTATTGTCATTAATCTCGATCCTGGCAGCGACAGTTACAGTGATACCAACTCTCAAAGTGACTGTGAAACTGCCAGTGAGTACAATGTTACTACGCCTGATGAAGACACTGACATGGAGCTTGCACAGCCACTATAGAATAAGTAGTTAATGTTTTTGCTTAGGTCTGCTACCTGATGTCGGCCCAGACTTTAACGCTTTGAACTTACTGCATTCCTTGCAAGTCTCAAGATTACAGTCGCTAACAGCAGTTTAACATTCTCTTCCTAGCAACAGTGACAAAGCCGTTGTGAGCAGACTGAGGCACCAGAGCGGAAGTAAGGGAAAGTCCAGGTGCCGCGGTTACCTCAGGTTGCATTCCATTTATTGTAGTCCTGGGCTTTACAGATATCCTCATGTT